AACATGGATGGCTCTGAATACGGCTTTCCTGCGCAGTTCTTTTCAGGGAAGCAGGTCACTAAGGCTATTTGGACAATTCCAAAATTCAGTCTAGGAGACCTGGCCTTGAATAAAGTACTAGAGAGGTAGTGCATAGAGAAAATAAGCTGAAGCACCGACCTGAAGGTACAAAAAGCCGCCCAGTTTATTTCTCCAAGAAATTTTTCCAGATGAAGAAAACTCTTGAGAAGTCAGGGTCACAGCTATCCAATCTGATACATTAAATCAGAATAATGAGAGTTGAAGAAAGAAAAGTCAAACAATTCTACTTGCAATTGCTGTGTTCAGCTGGTCTTTGAGGCCAGACAGAGAATCAAATCTGGTCCTTATAAGGCCTCACAATAGACATCAAATCAAATTCAATAATCTACGAAAAGGAAGCCTCCCTAAGTGGCTGTTATATTTTCAATCTCTACTTAAATGAATGTAATAAATAGGTTCCTGGAAGAGGTTAACAATACAATAATGTGATAAGGGCATTCCTCTCTTTCATTAGCAGACAAAATGAAAAATAATTAGAAATTCCAGGCAAAACAAAAAGTTGCACAAGAAAGTTATAGTCCAAATGTGAAGTAAACTAATACATCATATGCTTTTGAATAATTGATGAGATGCACAGAAGAAAAGAAAACCATTTCACTTTGATTCCTAGAACATTCTCCCTTAAGCAGCATAGATTTAGTGATACAGGGTCATTCATAGCATGGGGCTCTCCAAGAAATACTATTACCAAGCACTTACTATGTGCCAGGCATTATTCTAGGAACTTAGTAAGTACTTTCTTATTTAATGCTCACAACACCACCAGCAGGTAGATACTATTTTATGACCATTTTACATAAGAGGAAGTGAAGGCACAGAGAAGTTAAGTAATGTATCCAAATTTGCAAAAGCCCAGACAGAAAGTGGCAGAACTAGATTTTGAAGCCAGGTGGTACAGTTCCAGGGCCTGTGCTTTTACCAACTACATTATTTCATTGGTTTTCAATTTTTATAATTAACTTCAAAATGAAGCAGAGAATACACAATTATAATTACAGGTCAAAGGATCAGTGTTATACACCTTGATGATGCAAAACTAATGGAATGAGGGAAAAGACTGAAGGAAAATGAGATGTATTCTTTCTTCATCTTACACAGAAAAGAGCTATGGTACATTTTCCAAAGTTGATTCATTATAAAACGTACTTTTCAGAATATGAGTTGTAGTTATAAGTGAACCCACCAAAAGACAAAAGATAGTAATAATCCAAATGAACATTTTGGCTAACCCAGTATATGTGTATGTATATGTGTGTGGTTCTATACACACACACACACACACACACACACACACGACAGAGAGAAGATAGATATATAAAGATACATCGAAAGAGAGATGTCAGTGTTCACTACAGTTATTTCTAAGGATGATTTTAATTTTCTTCTTAAAGCTTTTTTTTCATTTTCATCTTTTCTACAATAATATGTATATTCTCCTGTCATTAAAAATATCTTTTTTTATAATGTGGTTGTGTTTATACAGTATTTGAAAGCTGAGTGGAAATGAAAAGATTATTTACCCGATTAAATGTTATTTCTTCTGTTAAGAAATAAAAAATGATTTTAAGAAATAGTCTTAACCTTCTGGAACCTCTAATTTTTCAGAAAGCTAGACATATCTTTCATGAGTTCAAAGTGCTGAGATCTCTTCAAGTTAAAAGAATTATATTTTTCTGAGAGTTCTACCACTATGTAATGTTCAAATATCACTCCAACACTACACATTTCAGATGTTAAGGAAAAACCAACTTTTAACATTCATTCCTCTTATTAAAATATAAAATTCACCTGTCTTAAATGTAGATTTTCAACACTACAAACATGTCCTTTCCAAGGCAGTCATGCTTAGGGTCACGTGACCTAAGTATGCTATATGACAACCACATATTGTGAACATAATTAAATAATTTAAACAACAAACTCTTAAGGACAGCCACGTTAATTGACACAGTGGAGAATTTCCAGGGAGATACAATGGATTTTACAGTAGCTGAAGAGCTCAATTAATCATTCAGTGCAATACTTTCCCTTTACACAGATAAAATGCAGTTATTACCATATTACAAATAAATCAGCTGAGACCCAGTTTAGTGACTTCCCCCAGGTCATGCAGCTAATTGTGAGAGGAAAGGAATTACAACTCACGCCACCTGCCTGCCTTCCCATGAAAGAGCTTCTCCTGCCATAGCACACTGTCTCGTTGAGTAATGGTGAAAGATACATGCCCGTGTCATGAATTTGGAGGTGCTCTTCTTATTGACTTGTCTCAGAGGTTACTAACAACATGATCCATGCATAGTTCATCCCTCACCTGGATTTCCAACAGAGTTTATCCCTGAAACTCCAGAGTCCCCAGTTCTGGTTGCAACCTCTCCAGATGTTTTGACCCCCAAGTGGAATTCACACTCAGGGTCACTCCTCCTTTCTGTTCAAGAGTAGTGGCAGTGTCCTCATCTCTGCTTCACCAGAAAAGCCTGAACTCTCCATACCCTCTCAGAATATCTTCTTGTTCACACTGGTGTATCATATTACCTTGTGAGTATATTCTCTCGTTTCCTCAGTTGTAAAGCCCAGTTGTCATTCCCTTTATTTACCAATCTCAAGAGAATCTGACTTCTTTCACAAAAATCCAAAGCAGACAGCTAGTCACCTTCCTTTACTTATTCTCAACACTCTTCTTTTTCCTTAACCTTGGATCTCACTTAAATACCTACAAATTCAGTGCTTTAAATCCATGCTCCTGTCGGGCACATCAGCTTGCATCCAACAGGACAATACTGTGAGATCTATGTGCAAAAGTACCATTTGTGGGGTTTCCCTGGTGGTGCAGTAGTTTGAAGTCCGCCTGCCGATGCAGGGGACATGGGTTCGTGCCCCGGTCCGGGAGGATCCCGCATGCCGCGGAGCGGCTGGGCACGTGAGCCATGGCCGCTGAGCCTGCGCGTCCGGAGCCTGTGCTGCGCAACGGGAGAGGCCACAGCTGTGAGAGGCCCGCGTACCGAAAAAAAAAAAAAGTACCATTTGCATTTATTCTCTCATTTAATAAATACCTTTTAACTGACCACTATGTATCATACCCTAGGCTAAACGTTGGGGATTTGAGAAAGAATAAGGTAGGAGGCACATTCCTTAACCTTAAACTTCTCACAGTCTTGGGTGGGGGGAATGGGAGTGCTAAGCTGTTAGGTTCATGTACAATGAGTCATTCGACCACGCAGTGAGTGCAGTAGCACTGTAATCAACATATGTGAAAAGTGATATGGCAACAGACAAGACAGCAGTGTTAATTCCACATGACATGTGAGCCAGGTTTTGAAAGACTGGTATAAAATCAGCAGGATAGAGAGCAAGGACCCTCTAAGGAACATAAGTTTGGGGTAAGAGAAGCTGACTGAGAGGGAGTATTATTGTTATTATTATTATTACCTAATTCAATTTTGCAAAGGCAGGATGTGAAGGGTACTAGAAGGCAGGAAAGAAATGCCGCTGCCTGCCCTGAGCCCCAGCCTGGAGTTAAACCTGAGTAAACTTGGCTCCCTATCTGACCTGTCACCCTGGATAAACCAGCACTGCCGGGCTCCCGTGGCATCTTTTCTGGGCACAAAATTTCATTGTAAAAAACACTGGGAAGCCAATCATGAAGCAGCAAAAACAAAAGCTGTCTACATTCCCCTGCTGCAAAACCTCTTGTTTAGAGGAAATGTTGAAGTGAAGAAAATAAATAAAAGTTGTTCTGAAAGGAGAGCCAATTACATTTTTGCCAAACATAACAGGAAGCGGAGAACTAAAGCAGACAGAGTAATGTCTATCTTTGGCACACCAGACAGGGAGGAGAAGAGCGTGTCTTTGATGGCAGACTTTATTTTAAAGGTGCCAACTGACATTTTGAAAGGACATAAAAACACAGAGAGGAGAGAGCTCTTCAGCCTCTGCTGTCTGGGTTGCAGAAGCTCCCAAGTGCCCCCAGGGTTTTCATTTTTCTAGTCTAAGACTAACACAAGATAAAGTGCAGGAAAGAAAAGGAAGAAAATAAAACAAGTCCCTGTCTTAAAGCAGCCACGCGAATCCACATGATGCATTTGAGTTGAAAGTATAAAGAGAAAGACATTTCCTGACTCTGGAAGGAGGCTGGCAGAAGGGGTCCTCCGTGGTAACCAAAGGCAGAGTCCTGTCCATCAGCTTAGCAGTCAGTGAAGCACATGCTTGTTTTTACAGGGAACCCCGTTCCAATAGCAGGACAGGTGCAATAGCTCATGTCTAAGGCCACCAGTTACTCAAGACTTGAAGAAAGCCCCCCCCCCATGGCTTTCCCATAGGCACACTTACAGCTGATCAGCTGCCTGAGGTCAGGAGCCCAGTGTCCTGAGCCCTCCGAATTTTCAGAGCACATCTCTTGCCTCTTTCCTTCCCTGACCCTATGTTCCTGCTGTTCACTGAAGGCACAACTTATATGTTTCTTGTCTCCTGATCCTCCTAAAACATTTTGCCCCATTGAAGAAGTTTAGATTTAAATGTTTGACACACCTTCATTGAGCTTTGGACGTCTCGCAATCCAAACTTCTCCCTCTCTCCCAGGGTCATGTAGACATTTCACTATATCTTAAAAAAAATTTTTTTTAATTTATTTAATTAATTAATTTATTTATTTTTGGCTGCATTAGTTTTTTTTGCTGTGTGCGGGCTTTCTCTAGTTGCAGGGAGTGGAGGCTACTCTTCGTTGTGGTGTACGGGCTTCTCATTGCGGTGGTTTCTCTTGTTGCGAAGCAAGAGCTCTAGGCGTGCGGGCTTCAGTAGCTGTGGCTTGCGGCCTCTAGAGCGCAGGCTCAGTAGTTGTGGCGCACGGGCTTAGTTGCTCCGTGGCATGTGGGATCTTCCCACGCCAGGGCTTGAACCCGTGTCCCCTGCATTGGCAGGAGGATTCTTAACCACTGCGCCACCAGGGAAGCCCATCACTATATCTTTTAAATGAGGAAGGTGATAATCCCCTGCACTATTACTCAGGTAAAGGGGATTCATATCATTCTGGAAAGGGCAATGAAGGATAGAAAATGGAAAAATCAAGGAGCCAATGAGTATATAATTCAGAGGAATGGTCTATTTCCAGTCAAGCACTGACCAACACTTACTTCAGCTCAGTGCAAATAAATACAGAAGAGGGAAAAGAGAAGTATACAAGAAAATAATTCAGTACCCACTCCATCCTCCTCAGCTTTCTCACACTAAGACTCCACACAAATTCTCAGCAACACAGCATCTCCAACTCACCTCTGACCAGCTCACTGTGTGCTACAGTCAATACTATCATGCAGCCACTGTTTATCAAGTTCCCACTCTGGGCAAGATACTACGTTAGAGGATCCAGGAATGAAGAAGACAGAGCACCAGCCGGCAATAACGTCTCAGTCTTAGCAAAAATCTTACCGGAAGAATGTGACCAGGGTGAGCAGGAGTCTGGAGGGGCAGTTCCGTTAGAGAAGGTATCTGACAGAGTAAGTCAATCCAGGGAGGTAAGACCCAAGTCCTCAGAGTTCAGTCAGGGAATCAGAAACAACGGTCCTAGCAAAGAGAAGACAATGACATGAGTGCAAATCCTGGGACAAAGGTTATTTCCTTCCTAAGCTGTTTTAGACTTCTTGCTGTCTGTAAAGACCCAGGACCTGGGGAAATAAATTATGTCCAGGAAGTGGTTCAAGGCCTCCAGGGAAAGCCTTCTGCTGTGTGAGTACAGAAAGAAACTATTAGATTGCTTCATAACCTCCATAAAATAACATGCTTTGCTATTTTAATGGCTAAAACAAAAGCATAGTTACTTGGACACTGAAATAACTCATTTTGGCCCTGGCAAGATTTCAAAAGGACAATAACAAAGGTAAGAAAAAGAAAGGAAAAAGAGAAAATTAAGTTCCTTATTTCTTAAATGACCAATATATGCACAAAAGTTCAAAGAAAACAAAATTTCTGTATAAATTACAAAAGCCCTCTCAATTTTTTTCAGAAATGCAGTTCAGCTATGAAGAAAATCTCTCTAATTTCCTGAGATGATGAAAGAGAAGGCCAGTTTCTTAATTGCCTGATTGCTAAACACATTAGAAAATGGATGGCATTTCAAGATTGAGATTCTGGCCAAATATTATCTTTTGTATTAGAAACAGAAAATGACTCAGGAAAATATGGAGCTGCTTTTTATGAAGAAGAGTTGAAAAGAAATTACAGCTGAGAGAAACAATGAATCATAAAAGATGACAGATAAGGAGTCAGAGTTAGGGACCAAAATACCTCAAGATGGTTCTCAAAACTAAATGGAAATAAAATTAAAACATACATCTTCAGTTTTATTACTAGGAAATCACTGCAGTAGTCAGGTAGGAAATACTCTCTTTCCATTATTTTGCAAAGCACAAAGAGCAGTTTTCCAGACAATTTCAGCACTTTACAAAATGCCCGGAAGCAGCAGATCTCTGCAGAAGAGGTCACACACTCGTAAGCTCAAGATATAAAGCAGACAGATTCAAGTCAATAGGAACATCAAATTAGTTTGCTGGTTATTGAGTGGAGAGGGCACTTGTATGCCCTGGTCCCTGAACTTCTGCCTCAGCCATGCAGCTCAAGTCTGATATTAATCTAGAGGAAATAGCAATTCGGTCAAAGAAAGAAAAAAAATTCATAATGACCTAGATTGGCCATCTGCGTGTTTTAATTTTCTGAAGATTAAAAACAAATAAATGAAAGAAGTGCTTAGCATTTTAAAATTACAAGCCGAAACTTCATATGGTGCAATGGTTTTTTAGCTTCTTAGAAGTTTGTCAATTTCTTTCTCTTTCCTCAGTTACTGATAGTGTTCATAAAGTATTCATGTTATGAGAGTGGATAATGTGATTCCTGTTTATAAAATGAGAAGGGGCATGGAGCAGGGAGTGACCAAATGACCTTCTTGGGTCCTTCCAGTTCTGAAATTATATAGTTTAATGGCATTCATAACTCTTAAGTGACCTGGCTTGAGAAAATAATGCAAAAACATTAGACAGTCAGCATTTTTTTCCCCAAAGGCACATACTAGGTCCTCAAATGATTGCTGAATAAATGAATGCTTTTTGGCAAAAAAAAAAAAAAAAAATTAACAACAGGAAACTTTTATATAAAATTATAGGCTTCCCTGGAAATATATATGTATATATATGAAACATACATAGAAACATATAAAATATATAATATTATTTTGTGTATTTTTAAAATTCTTTCATTTGTTCTGTATTTATTAACTAACATTCTTCTGTAGAGAAAACTTTTGCTCATGAATTAGAGTATTTGGTTTGCCAGAACTATAGTTCCCACTGAAGAACCAGGATAAATGTATAATAATGTGTCTTTAATTACCAGTTTTCAGAAGGATTTGACTAAATAGTTACCTCCAATAGTGGCAAATAACTCATTGTTTTAAATCTTTCTCTTCCTTTATATCTTGAAAGACTCGGGACTCTGGATGCTTAGGTACTCCATGTGTTTCAATCAACTACAGTCATGTTCTTTTGCATGTACAAAATGTGCCAAATTTGGCCAATGAGAACTTCCTAGTGCTTGTCCCCATGACCCAACCCATGAGTCTCCCCTTGCTTTCTAGCACAACAAGGTGTCCTAAATTCACCTTGTATTTTCCTTCCTCCGAGCCTACAATCAGCCATTTCTCCAAGGAACCCTGATTCCTTTCTGTGAAGAATAGAATTTAGAAAACAAAATTTGGGCAGTAAAATGGTGATTACAGATGGAGTACCATAGCTCCTGTGCCTTTCCACTGTACAGATACAGGAAATATATTATCATGAATCAGATTGATATTCCCAAAGCAAATTTAACATTATGGGATTTTCATTTAATTTCTTCGATTTAATACTTGTACCTGTTTTTCATACACTGAAAATCTCAGTTTAATTATTGGTTTATTCCATAACATACAAGAAACCACAAAATAACAATCTCAATACCACTATTTACAATAACATTACTGAATGATATTTAAGATTTCCTTGCAGTTCTTTTCATTCTTAGGCTGTATGCCACTAAGTTTTGTTTTGTTTCTGTGTTCTTTTGGCATCAAAGAAGTTGAAATTTTATTCTGTTGGTTGTCTTTTTATTAATATTTTGGGTAACGTTCATAGCCCCCCTTTTCCACCAGACAATACATATTGTTCCACGATTGTGAGTCACAATAAAATTCATTTACAATAGCTTTTCGACCCGTTTCTCTTCTCCATCATGTACTTTTAGTCAATATTAATATCTTTCTTGTGCCTAATCTTTGTACTCTTAAATATACTAAAGTTTCTATTATTCGTCAGCTTTAAACAATATCCAAAGAAATCATTTAATTCCCTCCTTCCCACCTTTCTCTGTGTTTTAGTTCTGTCATTTTTACTTTGGCACTGCATTTAACACTGACAAACTCTCCTTTAGTCCTTGTCCACAACTTTAAGACCTTTGATCTACAGTTAGATATATAAAATACTCACCACTGATGTCTCTGTCAAAGTCCCCCATGGCACTTTTTTATAAAGCTCATCTTGTAGTAATTTTGCTAGGAAAAGCTTCTAGGGACAATAACCCCTGAGTTCTTGCATGTTCCATATTCTTCCTAGAGCCTTCACATTTAAAGGACAACTTGAATGGAATAACATCCTTCACCTTCTTTCTTGAGTATCTTCAAGATGTTATTCCTTTACTTATTGTTTTGAACATTTATTGAGAAATTCGATGTCAACCTACTTCCTTTCCTTTATGAATGACTTTGTCTTCTTTCTTTGCGGTTTCAGAGATAATCATCATGGGTCCATTTTTACAGATACAAATGGTCCTTGTAATATGTAGATTCAGATCTTCATTTATATCAGTACATTTTCTTGAATATGATTTTAAACATTCATTCTTTCCCACTTTTGTTTTTCTCCTCCAGCGGCACCAAGTATGTGTACTGTGTATCTTGAACATTGATCTCACCCCACTCAACTCTTTAGTTAAATGCCATGAAAAATGAGAGCCACCTCTCTGAATCAAGCATTTATAGCTGCCTAAACTGTATGTAGCCTTTGATTCCTGACCTTACTGTCCGTCTTGATTGGTACCAGGACCACATATTGTAGTCTGTCACATGCTGTTACTTTTCCTCTTTTGAACCTAAATACTACTGAAATAGTATTTCAATTATATCACTTTTTAATATGTTTTGCAGTACTGTCAATTAACTACACAAGCTATTTTCATCATCCTTCTATTCCCTTGCCAGAAATTCCAACTGATATGGATGGGCTACCACATACCCTCTGATGTAGTTTCATCATGGAATAGAATCACTTTCACTGTTCTCAACAGTAAAATTATTTTTGTTGAGGGTCCTTTTACTTCTGCATTTCCATAATTCTACACCTTTGGCTATAGATTAACACAGACAAGCCTCATATCAAATTCTAAATTAGGAATAATTATTAGATGCCTATTGTATGAAAGATAGTACACAAAGAAGTGGTACAATGAAGGTTATACTATTGTTTCCTTTAGTAGGTTTAGTCTAGCAAAGTAAATAAGATATAGATATAAACTGTGTGTATACATACATATACATTACATACATTAGGATAAGAAGTGTTAGAACAACAAAATACATAAATAAAATGTACTGGGAGTTTAAGCTAAAGAAAGAGGACTTATGGTAATGGAGATCATGGGAAAACTTTGTAAAAGTAGTGGCCTATCAGTCTTGAAATACAGAAAAGCTTTAGGTGTAAGGAGATCAGAGAAATGTACTTTAAGAAAATGGAGAGTGTGTTTAAGGAAAAGGCTTAGAAATTGAAAAGTTTGTATTGGATATGACAATTAGCAGTAGTTTCATTTGATTGAAACAGAACCAATAAAAGAAAATAGTCATAAATAACATTTTAAAAAATGAACTGAGTATTTACAATATTAGGATAAAATGCTTGACCTTTGTTAGAGAAACAACATGAGGCCAAAGTTTGGAGTAGAAGAGTGATATAAGAGTTTCCCAAAGATTAATTCAATAGCAGAATACAAAGCTGATTGGAATAGGGAGAAATTGGAGACAGTGAGATCAGTGAAAAGACAACTTCAATGGTCACAACAAGAAAGAACAAAATATATCTCTGGATATAAACACAGACCAAAGCAACCAATCTTTTTATAAGATTATACACCTCTTCCGTAGAAGAAATATTCAGTCAGAGGCTTTATGGTGTATGTGTTATTTAGGCATCTACAAGAAAGGAAATGTATTTTTGATTTAGTCATAAAACCTGAGAGCATTCCCCTGCTCAGTCATCTACAGAATAAATGATGCAGTCTGCACCATCACAAAGCTGTCTGACACGCTGTATTCATATTTAGAAATCTGAATTTAGCATCTGCAATAAAGAAACTAAAAATAAAGTCTACTCTAAAGCCCTCCCTCCTTTCCTCTCTCACTTATTCTACCTAATTGTGTCTCTTTCCCCTTTAAAACCAATTTCAAGAGGTTAACATTGTCATGTGATTATATTTTATCTTACGTGAAG